GGCACGGGTGAGGGTAGGGCCACCCTGAGCTGCCACCCGCGGGCCTCCCCCAGGCCCACCCTGCCCTGGTCTCTTCTTTTCCTGGTTCAGGGTGCCAGCGTCTCCAGGAACTGCAGGTGCCAGAATTGGATGGAGCATGGTCCTGTTTACTGACATAGCTAGCAACCCCCTCACCCCTTATCGGTGGCCTGTGGTGGTAGAAGACATCACCTGCATTATGTTGAGGGCAAGAGACCACACTGCATAATCACAGAATACTTTCCGGCTGATCTGCTTTACAGCGGGTTGGTTTTCGCTAATATCTTATTGTGCCTAGTTTATAAAATTCATTATAGGTATGCATACATAGGGTTCATTGTGATCCCCGGTTCCAGGCAGCCATTGGGCATCCTGAGATGTATGAGAGTGGAGAGGTGTACCATAGGGTTTTTATCTTAAGTATGGGCAGATAAAGCCCATTTCTTCTTCCACCTCCGATTTTCTCCTTTTTTTTTCTTTCTCACCCTTCTGTCCCTCCTCAACATTCTATTTTTGAAGATGAAATACTATGCAGCCCTCAAAAAGAAACTCATGCCATTTGCAGCATTGTGGAAGGAGCTGAGAGGGATTATGCTAAGTGAAATAAGAAAAAAATAAAACTCAGAAACTCACAGGCCGACCATAGATCTGGGGCCTATAGCAGGGGTGGGGTGGAGGAGAAGGAACAGAAGAGGGAAGGGAACAGCATAAAGGATGGTGATGGTTCATGGGTACTGTGGTGGTGGGAGCACTATGGGGACAACATCTGAAGGGAAAAGTGATGTAAGAAAGTGAAAAAAGAAAAAAAAGGCATTTGTCTCCCTCCCTAACTGCAGGAGAAAGAACAAACCCTTGTATTTGTGTCTTACAGTGTGACAGGTGCTACTTTGAAATGGCTCTCAGTGTTATCTCATTTAATTCTCACAAAACCTGTACTGTTACCCAACATTTAGCAAAGTGGGGAGCTGAGGCACAGAGGGGTTAAGGAATATGACCAACATCACACAGCAGCTAAATGGCAAAGCTGTGCCTTGGATCTGGCCAGCAAGTGTTTTCTCTGAAAAAGTGTGGGTGTGGGCCTGATGAGCACTCCAGCATTGAATGTGAAAGGTTTCTATAAGGCTGTTTCATTGTATAGGACAGGAAACTTCAAGTTTGGGGGCTTTGTTTTTGTTCTGTGCTTTTTTAAAGTCATAGGAAAATAATTTTGAACAATTTTTAGTGACTTGAAAAAATGTTCTTGGTACATGTGTTACAGTTAAATAAGGAAGCAATGCAGGGCTTCATACTTTGGTAGCTTACTTGTTGACTGTCTCCCAACCCAGTGTAAGTCCCTGGAGGGCAGGGTATACAACAGTCTGTTTCCACCATATTATCAGTGCTTAGCAGAGTGTTTGAAAAACAGCCTTATTACGTAGTTTACTGGCTGAGTCAATGAGTGAATGAAGTCTCTAGAAGAGACCAGTTGCCACCCTGAATAATAAATCAGGAAAAGTCATTAAAATGTTTTGAGGTCTTTTTAGTGATAAAAATATTCTTGTTAACCATATGTAAAAAAAGACAAGTTAAAAAAAAAAATCAAACTTATAAAAAAAAAAAAAAGACCCTTCTAGCCAGGATCTTGTTAAATGTAATTTATATCACTTCTGTAATTTATATCGTGGGGAGAAAGTTCTTCCTCTTGAGTTTTCCAAATGTGAAATTAAGTCATAATGAACATAAAAAAAGCACTGCCTAGCCCCTGGGGAGAGTATGCTACCTTAGTCCTGACCCGTGCCCTCCATGCTGGCAGCATCTGCAGAGTGTTCGGCCAGTTAATTCTGTCTAGGCCTGCTGATAGTCTGGATGGCCTCTGGAAACTTTTTGGAAACTGTTTACTTTTGAAAACCAAATATATTACATATTAAAATAGTATGGATGCTGATTACCAAATCCAACAATTATCAATTCATGGTCAATCTTGTTTCATTGATATCCTACCAACTTTATATTTTTTTTTAATTAATCCTATACATATTATTTCT